TTTTTTTTGGGGAGAGGTTTTCGCTATAGGGCGCGTGCGCTCGCCAGACAGACAGACAGAGACATAGAGACAGAAAGCGAGAAATCACCCCCCAGGGGGGATGGTCACGCCACAATCCCTTCTCCTCCATTCTCCTCTCGGGATCTTGGGCACGCACGCACCCGCGCCCAGCGTGAGATTTAAGCCACCGGGTCCGAGACCGAACCGTGGTCGACTACGTGGGAGTCCAGCGACATAGCCATTACACTAACTGCTGGTTCCCACCTTATCATTTTTTGAACTAAGATTCCATTGTATTTAATAAAAGAATAGTTTATATACAGTTACTTATTCAAGGTATATTTCTCTTTGCACACAGAGAAACACATACATTCAACATAAAGCATCAATAATAAAGAAAATGTAAATTGTTACTATGTATAAACTAATAAGAGGGAATCTTTCTCTACCAATGTTTAGGTGCAATATGACTATAAGTCATTGCTGAGAAGTTGAAGGAGTCCTACCAAGTTGTTGGGAAGAAAATATGTGGTCTGCATTGTGACATAAGTCAGCGTGTAGTTAGGCTGTCTCAACTTCAGTAATACTGTCTTTCTTGGGATATTCATAAATGCTGTAAAACTGGGGTTTGAACAGAAATGTGGGCTCTCCATACTCCTGGGCACTTAGGAAGATGAGCCTTAAGATTGGGACCAAAGTCTTTGCTTTAGTCTTTCTGTGTCTTTTGACAAGGGTAGATTGGAAGCAACAGTTTTTATAGATTGAGATCAGTAGTTATTTTACTGTCTTTTTCAGGATTCTGCAGAGTTTGATTTGCTGTTTGAAAATGCTTTTGACCAATGGGTAGCCAGCACAGCATCAGAAAAATGCACCTTCTTCCAAATCCTCCACCACACCTGCCAGAGGTACCTCACGGACAGGAAGCCAGAATTCATTAACTGCCAATCCAAAATTATGGGAGGTAAGTGATATGTGTTTGCCTTTAGTTATCTGGTTTCCTTAGACTTACTTTCTCCTAAAAAGTAAGGTGTTCGGGACCAGCAGATGGTGTAGTGATTACGTCACTGGATTCCCACATGGCCAACCCCAAACCCCAATTAGTGTACCCGAGTACTGACCGGTGGCTTGAACCTCACACTGGGTACATGTTCATGCATGCCCAAAAATCCCAAGAGGAGACTGGAGGAGGAGAAATTATGGCATGGCCACACCTCTTGGAGGGAGTGATTTCTTGCTCTCTCTCTCTCTTTCTCTCTCTCTCTCATCTCTCCAGCGAGTACACACGCCTTATAGCAAAAAAATCCCTCTTAAAAGGAAAAAAAGTTAGGTGTTTAGCGTAATTACAGACAAAAGAAGAGAATCAGAACACTCATAACTAGACAGCATGAGAACTATTCCAGGGAGTTCATTGTATGCTAAATCTAGACACAATAGAATGTTTTCATTTCTTATCCAAAAGCTGGTCTTTTTAGAAGAATTAGCCACTGAGCTAAGATTGTTGATATTATGAGAACAAATTTGTTCCTTTATTAGAAAAACCTCCAGTTTGGTTTCTTTACACTTTTCTATAATTTCTTTACAGAACACTGTTTTGGGGGTGGCCTTTTCCTCTTATTTCTCAAGCTGTTTTACAAATACTAATATAAAAATTCCAGCAGATGCTGTTACTTTCTTTCAAATAACAACTAGTCTCACATTTATTCTTTGAGCAGCATGCAGCACTTAGTTAGGATAAGTGCTCTAAGCCAGTATTAAGGGGCCAGAACTAGTGTTGGCACTGTAAAGAGAAACATTTAGAGGGTGCTTAGCACATTTCTTTTAAATGACATTTCTTTTTAAGGAATTGAAACTGCTATAAGTGTAAAAGCTTTGCCAATCACTCTGTGAACTGGGGAAGAATGTTTACGTTACTGGTCTTTTCACTGATCTATTCTCTTGGTTTTAAAAGATCTTTTTTCAAGTTTTTTGCCATATGATGTGTGTGCTTGCCAGAGACAGAGATGGTGAGAGGGAAAATGAGAAATCACTCCTCAGATGGGATGGCCATGCCACAGTCCCTTCTCCTCCAGACTCCTCTTGGGAGTTTGGGCATGCATGCACACCTCCCCAGTGTGATTTTCAAATCACCAGACCTGGGACTTAAACCATGGTCAACCATGGTGAGTCCAGCGCCTTAACCACTGCTGGCCCCAAAAGATTTTTTTTAATGTACCAAATTTGCTTTAGTCAAATGTCAAATGAAGAACATATTAAGGAAATTTCATCTTCTTCTTGGACTGTATATGTATTTCATAGAACATGGGGCAGAATGCATTGATCGATCCTAGCAACAGATGTACACACACACTCATTGCATGTACATGTGTAGTCTGTTAGATGTTGTCTGGAAAAGACACTGTCTATTCACTTTGTTGTTATCCACGAAAGGGTTGGAGTTTCTCTTTCTTTATATAGTAAAATGTTAAATATTTTATGTAATTTATTGAATAGTGTACAAAAGTGAAAAATAGAATGATTGTATAGATATGCAAAGATGATTTCTACTGAATGCATAACACTTTCACGCTATTATAAACCAAAAAAAAAGCCTAAGTCAAGCCATTATAAGTTAGGAATCATCTGTAAATATACACATACATACATGTGTAACAAATTTTACCATATAAAAACTAACGTGGGCATCGGTATCTCCAGCTAGATACTGAATACACATATTTAGTGTAGATAACAGTACATTTACTTATCTATATTATATAATTCAGCTTCTTATGTAATACAAGCATTTAAGGGGTCCTGCATATTTTAAACTTCAAGAGTTCTTTCAATTACTTTCTGAGAAAAGTTATTACTTTTCCTATTATTATCAAGGCTACATTAAAAGAAAAAAATTGGAGACTTTGAAGGGTCCAGTAGCATTTCAGGAGAACATTAAATTATTATTTTTATTTATTTATTTTTAGTTTCCTATAAGGTGTGTGGGCTCACAAGAGACAAAGAGACACAACAAGAGAGAAGGAAAATGAGAAATCATCTGCCAAAGAGGATGGTCACACTACAATCCCTTTTCCTCCATTCTCTTCTCAGGATTTTGGGCATGCACATACATATACCCAGCATGATTTTCTTTTTCTTTTTTTTTTTTTTGGAGAGGTTTTCGCTATAGGGCGCGTGCACTCGCTAGACAGACAGAGAGAGACAGAAAGCGAGAAATCACCCCCCAGGGGGGATGGTCACGCCACAATCCCTTCTCCTCCATTCTCTCGGGATCTTGGGCATGCACGTACACGCGCCCGGCGTGAGTTTTAAGCCACTGGGTCCAGGATGCGAACTGCGGTCGACTACGTGGGAGTCCAGCGACATAGCCATTACGCTAACTGCTGGTTCCACCCAGCATGATTTTCAAATCACCAAGTCCAGTACTCAAACTGTGGCCTTTACAGGAAGTTGCTTACATGTGAAAACATTGAAAGGTCTTTGTTAGGCATTGACAGAGACTTTTTTACTATAGCTTCTCTATTTAGTCCTAGAAAATGTAAGAAGTGATAAATGATACATATTTTCTTCAAAGTAGCTACATCCTATTATATAGATATTAGTCATAAATGTTTAAAAGAAAAGAACTATCAAACATTGGCCTATTTAGGAAATATAATGAGACATAGCGCACTATCATATCTGTGCCACTAATGCACTTCAAATAAGTCCTGCTTTGAAAGTCCAGCCTTAAGAGACTCGGCTGAGGATGAAGCACACCAGATTTAGGACCACAGATTTTAGCACATGTTTTCAGAGTTAGCTAAGAAATCCCAGCTTCCCCTTGCTCTTCATTAGATGGAGTTTGCTCTGTTAGTCTAGGCTCAAATTTTTTCTTGATCTTCAATTCAACTATGAAACATTTTTCCTCATCAATGTAAGTACAGTCAGTAACTTGCATGGCTAGTACATAAGCATAGAATATCCTCTAAAAATACTATAGTATTACGGTAGTATTTGAGATTTTCATTGCTCTTGGAGAAGTATTCCATCATTCCACTTTGTGTTCTATTCTGAATGGCCAGAAGCAGATCCCTGCCATGGGAACTACCACTTCCTCAGAGTAGAAATGCAGGGAGAAGCAAAAGGGCCACAGACTCTTTGTCCTTGCAAGGGAAATGGGCCGCCTCCTTCCAGCAAACGTTAGGAATCACTTGGCCCGCTCTTCTCATCCTCCTACCTTAAAAGACCACTACGCAGTCCTCCTTCTCTGTTACCCCTCAAATTCCTTTCATGCATTAATTTACTCATGTTTCATCATGCAGTCAAACAATAAATCAAGATTAAGTACTTATTATGTGGCAGTAACCGTGCTATATCCTGGATATGCAAAATAGTTCTGTATTTAGTCTCTTGATAGTCTCTAATTGCCACTACCGAAATCCCAGACAGACAGATTCCTAACAGACTTTCTAATAAATTAATTTATTATCTTGAACATCCTGAGACCTTTCTACACAGTCCCACCCAGCTGCTTCTGTCAATCATTAACCCAGTCCTTTAGATGTCTTCTATTGCTTTGTGAACCCCAAATTATGCAAAGGCAACATGGGAACTTGAATATATATATATATATATATACACACATATATATATTCACTAACTCTAATATATATATATAATATATGTATGTGTTGGATAAAGCTAAAGACTGGTTTCCTGGGACCAGCAGTTAGTGTAATGAAGGGATTGTGGTGTGGCCATCCCCCCTGGGGGGTGATTTCTCACTTTCTGTCTCTCTGCCTCTCTCTGTCTGGCGAGTGCATGCGCCCTATAGCAAAAATCTCTCCAAAAAAAAAAAAAACTGGTTTCCTGTAGGAAGAAAACAATAATAAGACATTAATGAGATTGAGTACCAGAACTGGCTTTGCCCTATGTGACTGTTGCTGTGTCTTTTTTCTTCTGCGTACCTCAGTTTTCCCAGGCATAGCAAGAGGAGATGCACCAGATGATATCCAAAACTTCTTCCAGTTCTATCATTTTGATAATCTTCCTGAGTTATAGTTTCATTGTCTACATTAATTGTTTCTTAACCAATATGTCAAATAACAGACTTACTACAGCTAAATACTGAGTGATCCTGAATTCCAAAGGAAGACCAAAAAAAGTTTGGATTAAGCACGTTGTCATTTGTTGGCTGTAAATATGTCCTTAATGAATGCAGCCTGTCTCATTTAAAGCTTGTTTGCCCTTGCTAGCAGTTGCACCAGCATACTCTGATGATCTAGTATACGGATTAGTCTTCTTTTCTGCTGGTTATTACAGGTTCTGAGGTCATTACATTTTGACACCTTTAATTTTGGGGTATCTCCTCCCCTCTGTAGCAGATGAAATCTATTCCTAATTTCACAATATATTTTAGTTTCTCCTTATAGTATAGGCTACAAGTATTAGACACAGTTATTTCTTGTCCCATGAAATATGATAGTCGTGTGATTTTAGAGAACTAATGTTAGTGTTGGTATGCTGCCCTATACCAGATTTTTTACATATGTTACTTTACTTCATTTTAGAGCAGCCTTTGGAAATACAATTTATCATCTCCATTTTACAGGGAAGAAAACAGGATCAGAGAAATTATTAAGTAGCTTGCCAAGAGTCATATAGCATGTAAGTAGTAGAGATAAGACTCCAACACAGACTTTTCAGCTCTAAACACACTTTAAGGGACTCTGAGTAGCATGCTCCAGAGATGCTGATGCTATATTTGGAATGGTACCCCGTGGAGTAGGATAAGAATTTTTTAAAATAATTCCTAGGTATTTTAAAGGGAGGAGGAGGTCGAGAATAAGAGGAGACCAGAGATTATAGATAGTTTTAATTTTTTTTTCTGTTATTTGTCACATATTTGCATTTAAGATATAACTCAAACTATTTTTTGGTGCTAAGAACAGTAAAATCATCAAAGTACTTTAAAATCATCTCACT